ACTCTTTCAAGATTCAGAGCAATACAAATCACTTAGGTATGACCTCTTGAAAGCACTGTATTGAGCTGTATCTGCCACAGGGCTTACTGCAGCACTAATCACAAGAGTCACAAGGCATGTGTCATGCACTTACATGCAGCTTGTCTGCAGACAACAGCGCTTTGCGGTGTAAAGAACGGCCAGTGGGTGAGTCCCACTGAAACGGTTCCTGTGGTAAAGAGTGTCACAGCAATTGGCAATGACTGCCCTGGTAGACATTCGTCCGTCAGAGGCTGAACTGCATTTGTTCCCTATTTCACCTCAACTTGCCAACTATGGCTGGTGCAAGAATTGTTCCCAAGGCCAAGAAAGGAAGAGTATGAATGCTGGGTTTAGTAATAGTAACACTTGCTTCTAGATACTGACAATGTTAAGGCCTGGGAAAGAGGAATACAAATTCCAACAACTTGTACATATCTTTATGTATAAAATCTTCCTTATAAATATTATAGAAGTTGTAAACAATACACCTACTCTTATATTACACACATAACATCTGGCAGAATATATCTGAAAGAGAACTCACTCCAGTAAGAGTCATTTATTTCATAGAGTTCCACCTTCAAATAACATTTCTCTACTCAAAAACCCTGCCTGAATGAGCAGAGTTTTAATTCTAAGTCTTATGTTTTCTGGCAATTAAATTTCTGTCTCTGGCCACAGAAAAGATGTACTATCACCACACTGACACCATTAAGTGTTTTAGTTTTTTTCACATCTGTTAATTCACCCTCCGCTACCCCCAATCAACTCCTGGCCAACTGTAGCCAAAGGTTAGTTAAAGGGATTAGCGACTTTCTAGTTCACATGAAATCATTTACCATGAATGGCCAGGAAGAACAGTGACACCTGACAAAACATCTTAGGACCCAGAACTCTTAAAGGTAACCAGGCCAGATTTTTCAAAAACATACTGACTGCAGGGATGATTAGCTATACAAGCATTTTTTAAATCCTCTGGCCTAGGCACTTTTGTTGGAAGCTAACTACCTTTAAAGATTCTTGCCCCTTCCCCCACACTCTTCATATAGTGTTTATTCAAATGGTAAATAATAGAAATTAATATTTCAACTTACGTTTCTGCTTTGCATTAGTTTTCTTGTAACTTAGAGATTTGACTTTTTGTTGATGAATTGAACAACAATAGACCTTGTCACAAGGCAAAATGTCACAGAAATTCACTTCAGGGATCCTGCTGATGGGTTGTGTGCTCTGAGAAATTGTGCTTTCCCTCTGAAATGCTAAAGAAAATAAAAACAGACATAATTCTCACTAGCGCTGTGTGTCTATTGGCATTTTATAATAGCACAGAAATTGAAAGCCTGTTATGTGTATGCAGACCAGCAGAGATACAGTACCTGCTGTAGTGGTAGAGGGCAAGAGTACAACAGAACTGGAGGTACTGCTGATGAAGAAAAAGAAAAACAATACATTAAGAAATGGGCATCAGAGTTGTGGACCAAATCCACAATCTATTACTAATTCTAATTCACTGATTCAACTACTTGCCTGTAAATTAGATGTTTTTCAAAACTTCTGTCATGAACGCTAAGTAAATATAGGGTCGATATTGTCAAAGCACTGTAAAAAGAGAATTATTCTATAGATTTACATCCATCTCTTATGTAACATAATATGAATAGTATCCTGACAGCACCTTGTCCAAATGTAGTAATGTCAGAGTTAACTATCTGATCACTTCCCCTTCAGTGGGAAAAATCTCAACTGAATTTAATGGGGTTTAGGTCAGATACTTGTATGCAGCTAAACTCAACACAAAATATGATCAGTTTTCCATTGTAAATACAATCACAACACCAGTTCAAAGTACTTAGTTCACAGAGAGATTGTAAGCCACAGGTTTTTGTCATTTTCTCTTTCCAGTTCAATCCCATAAGTCCAGAGCCTACTTTCCTTTCCACAAGTCCAGTGTCACAAGTTAAACTTTCAGACTGCCTGTTTGTCAGAGGACAAACATTGGGAACAAGTCCAGCTCCATTTCACACAACAGAATCACTCTGTACATCATAAATTGTACTTAGGCACAGAATGATTGCATAAAACATGCAGAGTCTCACAAGTCCAGCTTTGCACCTGTAGCATAAGCCACCAAGATACACTCAAGGTGCACCATACATTGTGACATGGACAGAGATTAGCTGTGAATGCACCGCATGAGTATCTCACTTTTCTAAAACAATTTCAACTTTACAATATTACTAGACATATTCATTGTTAATTTTAGTACATTGTGTTCTTTGAGTAGGAAGGGTGAGAAGAAGAAAACATCTTCTTTCCGATAAGTAGAAAGGGGAAGGGAGAAACAAGTCAACTTGTTGATAATTAATTGTTACCATAGTGCCATAATAGCAATCAAAGCTATTATAGTCACCCAGAAAATCTTCATGGAGCAAGACTCTTTCCTCTTTGACAAACAGACCTAGAAAACGAAAATGTTTGGTTAATTTAAGTCGCACATAACTAAGCTATTACTTGCAGATTAAGAGATACTACACTAGTCTGATTTTAAGTTAACCTTGTTCCTTTCTGAGGAACCATACAAGTCATCCTTATATAGGGGTCAACATCTAAAGAGAAAAACTTAAGTAATGAAAGGCTCCCTAGAACGGTGATTGCACTGCACATTGTTGGTACTCTGGGGACATAAACATTTCACAGGATGAAAGGCTGGGTAAAAATAACAGCTCCTTCTCTTTTCTTCCTGCTATTTTTCATACTCTTGAAGTATTTCAAAATCAAATTAAGAACTCAGTAAGCAGTGGCCAGAACTAAAAGATGAGCAGCTTTCAGTATATGGTCAGATCACGTTAAACCGGGGCTGGCATAAATACAGAAGAAAGGCACTTTCCAGACAAGTAGGATGATCTTAGATGATGGAGCATTTTATTGTTATTATGGAATAAAGAACATTTATTTTCTCTTGCTCTTGCACTGGCAAAAGCAAGGTAGGCAAATGAGTGTTGGTTCATCTTAAAGAATAGGACTTAGCAGCCTAGGAAGACCGTCTTGAAAAAGGTCTAACTAATTTAACTAACTCATTCAACCCCTGTGAAAAGCGGTCTCCTCTTTCTATACCAGGATGTGGGGAAGAGGAATTGATTCCGCAATAGCAACAACATCCTCTCCGGGTCTTAAGTACCTGAAAGACAGCATTATCCAGTGCAAAACAGGAGATGCTAACTGCAAACCACACTGAAAGACTCATCCAAGGAAGAAAGCTGAAGAAGAATTATCACTGTGCAAACTTCCAAATCGAAATGAGCATTTCTGTGTAAGGCTGCACTGCACCATGTAAGCACACCTACAGGTTCAACAATTCTCTCCTATTGAGGTCTCCTCCTTCACAACGTCACACAGCATGGATCTACTCTCACACACACAACGCATAGGCAAGAAGTCGAAATGTCTCATGTATTTTCTATCTCAGTGCAGTTAGTTTTTAAGATTATAGCATGGCACTAAATAATTCTGGATAGGGTATTTGATTCTGTATTTAGAAACATGATAGCTTTCAACAGTATTTCAGCACTTACTTACAAAAACTGTCTCATAGGCATATTTCATGTATTTAATTTCACTCACCTTGCTGGATTTTAGCAGGACTGATTTTTTTGATGGCAAAAGACTAGTAGCTCGACTACACCCACTGTAAGAGACAAAATCTTTTAACATTCAAATGCTTCAGCAACTAATAGAGGAAAAAGAGGCATTTTCAATAGGGTGCTAATGTCACTTGCTTTTGCAATTTTCACATTTAAAAAGAGAAAGGCAGAAGTGTCATCAGATTCATTTTCAAGAACAAAGGTCTCCAGTTAACTCATTTAGGTGAATGCTATTAAATGTTACATTTGATTTCAGAGAAAACTTGGGAAAATGGTTTAGAAATAGGAAATGCTCATCACTTCCACTGAAGCACTAATGAAGATTCTTTCTTGCAGAAGCAGCTCTGCAGATTTCTCTTGGCAGCAATTTCCAAGCTCCAGGGCTGTAACTGGACATAATCTATCCTTGCTTTATGCAACTGAAGCAATTACAAAAATGACTGCAATTTAACAAGCCATTTCAAATATTAATTTTGTCAGTGAGTTAAAAAATATGACAAATTTGCATTTTTTGCACAACTTAAATGCTTGAAATGAGTTAACTCCATTGTCAAGCAAATTGGTTTTCACTTCTACCACAGAGGCCACTTCACCAATTTCTGTGACAACTATCAGAGAACATTCTAGACAGAGGTACCTGGCTTTGCTCCCTTCACTGGCTGTTGACTTTAAACTGCTCATCCGTTTCAGCCTGGCCAGTTTCCTATTCCACTGTTCCAGTTCTTCTATTCTGACTTCAAGGTTGTTGGTTAGTTTACAAAGCTGCTTTACAGCACCAACATTCTCCATAAAGATCTGATCCTGAGAAGCAAAACAATGACAAAAGTAGATACAGTATATTCATCAATCAGATGTAGCAAGCAGTAATGAGTACAGAATTCATCTATGTACGGATACCCTGAATATTCAAAATGCAAACACAAGTTATCTCACTGTAAATGGGACGCACTTATGACAATAAAACCCTTTTGCCAGATTGTAAAAATTGCTTATGTTCAACTTGCAATAAGCTGAAAATGAGGACTTGCAGAAAATTTTGAAGAAGCTAACGGGCTTTGCAGACCAAAAATTTCAACTATATTTTACCTTCATACTGTGTTGAATTTTAAACCTTAATACTGTCACAACAGGTGTCTAGTATGTGATTTGTAGTGCTCCAGCTGAACATAGATTTCAGAATCCCTTAGCAAAATGTACATCCAGCCATCTACCTACAGGATTGACTAACCTGGCTCAGACAAGCCAGAGTTTCTATCCATGTTGTACACATAACATTAATCACATGGGAATCAGTGAGACAGGGAAAGATCGAAACTAGAGGACAAGCTGCAATGGAATAGTATTTTGTTCTCCCCTTCAACTTCTCCAGCCTCTTACAGGAGTCCTGTAAGTTCTAATACCATGACCAGCTCTGCACCTCACACAGTTCAGACACCCTCCATTTACTCCTTCTGAATATTTTACCCAGGAAAAGCCTTCTATTCTTCTACCCTCTCTTATCATTATCAATCTGCTCCTGGAGAAGCCCTCAGTACAACCATCCAGGTAATTTTATCCATTTCTGAGCCAAAAATGATTACTGATCCACTGCAGGAACATGGTTAACAGTATACTTTCTTTGCTGTGTTTGAAAGAACAGCTTTCTCATACTAATGTACAACCAGACTGAGGCCATTAAACCTTGCATGAAGCTATTACTGCAGTTAATGTTGCTAAATGTTCCAGTCTAGTCAAGTCATGCAGAAGTAAGGCAAAAGCAGAGTTTTGCCTTTCGCATTGTAAATGCCATGCACACCTTTCTTTTAAAGGTGACTGCATTCCACAAAAACAGACAGTATTTTGTATAAGCAGAACCAGAGCACAGGTATCAGTGGTAAGTCACAACTTTCTCTACTGCCAGAAGACCAAAGGCCTGTTTAACTAAAAAATTACTTCAAAATTACCTCCTAGAAATGCGAAATCATTTCTATGGTCACTTGCCCTCCTATCAATGCTATGTAGTGGCTGTCCTTTCCATTCTCTTCAAATCATGCATGAGTCTAGTCTAACTAGCTGAGAAAATGGCTCATCTGGCAAAATGAAGGAATACTTTCTTTGGGAAAAAAGGACTGATTAGAGTTTTACTGCCTCACTGATGACAAAGTACTGAGCACAGAGCAATTGTGAAGAGAAGAAAGATTCTTGTCCCAAAATAGCAAATTTCCACACAGTTGAGTCATTCCTCTAGAAAGTAGCAGAGCCTGGTTCAAATGTGTAATGCAATCAATTAATTTTACAGAGTTTGACAGCTCCAAACAGGTAACTGACAAAGGGACAGAACCAAACCAGCCGATAACCTGCTTATCTGGAACTAAACTTGGAATGTGAGATAACAAAGTCCAAGACCTCATCACCTGCCTAACTGAACACAAAGATATGAAGCAATGTCTATTTACTACTCAAGGTGCTGAGCTATTCTGGAGTTGGGAGCTCCAAACATTTAAAGCAGATGTTCCACCTGGACATCAGATGTTCCAAATCTCTGAATTCAATATACATCTTAAACTGTTAGACACAGATCTCTCCTGCCCCTGTCACCCCAAAGGTCAAGAATTGGCATTCACATCTCTGCCACAGGTATCAGGAGAAAGAGGAGAAAGCACAGATTTACCTAGCTGCATTAAAACAATGTCAAAGTGTGTGTGAAGTGATCACAGACCTAGCCCAGTAATCAAGAAAATGCTAAGCAGCAAACAAGCCATTGCTGTAACAACTCATTCATGCTTGGGCCACATCCATGGCAGAATCACGCCCTGCAGGGTGCAGCAGGCTTTCTCCATTTGCCAGGTCACACACCTGGAAGACATCCTGGCAAGCATTGTCCAGAGACCCAAGCTACAGAGGAGAATGGGAACACAATGGGCCCAAACAGCAGTGCTGTGAGGCACTGTTACAAATGGTATTTTGTGTGATATTTCAGCAAAGAGAGTTATAAATCAAAAGCTCAACTGTCCAACCTAAAAGTTTTGTCAGAAAAAAAATGACTACCCCAAAGCAGTTTTGTGGGGGCTCAAAAATGCAAATGATGCTGCAGCTGTCGCACAATGTAATGGAAAGAACTAAAGGGCAAAATGAACCTAATGTCACTATCTAACACCACTGCTCTTCCGTCAGCATCTAGAAATCAGCCACAGGCTGAAACCCTGACCAAAAGGAAGGGAAGAGAGCACAGGACAATAGGCTGTGGCATTGTTTCCAACCATGAGCATGGTAATTACTGTGTGTACCATAAACATTTTAGAGTATATGATTTTGAAGCTATGATAAGGATTTCAGCCATAAAAACCTTCCCAGAGAGCACACAGTTAGCATTTGTATTTGGTATGAAGTGATTACACCAGGACTGGAGTAAGGAAGTTTCTATTTAACAAATAGAATGCCATCATTGCTTAATTCACTTCTAGAACACTTAAATAACTTAAACATTTAAACAAAAAGAAAACAAAAAAACCCCAAAAGAATGTTTGCGCCACACTTGTTGGACCAATGCTATGAAATCACTATCCACCTACTTTCTCTCTCAAGACCATACCTTGTCAACCATAAGGAAGTTTTCTATTTTTTCTCCATCATTACAAGAAACATCTCCAACTTCTCTAACAGCTTGGGGTAAAAGTTCCTTCACTTCCTGGGCTATTATTCCTGTCCACAAGATAAGAGAAACTAAAGTCAGGAAACACAGTAGCAGTCGTTGACCATGACTGTATGCTTTGAATTGCCCATCCCTAAAAGCTGCAGGTAGGGCCAAACATGATCTAGCATTTCTCTATGCTAGGAAAATCCATTATTTCACTTTTTTTTTTTTTCCATTCCACACAAAACAAATCTTTAGAATTCCCATTTCTCTGCAGTAAGAACAAAACTGTTCATTCTCATTAAACCTCTGGAAAAAATAACCTACCTTTAAAAATTGAAATAGAAGTTGGAAAATTAACAGAAATACTTAATTTTGGCATTTTTATATCACAATACAGCAAAGTATGCAACTGTTGTATCCTAAGAAATTTAGGATGAAATGGTAGGGTGTGCACTATGGCACAGTAAGCAACAGTGGAAGTAAGTGAAAAATGGGAACAGAGCTGACTGAATACCTGTTTCGTGGGTATTTTTTATTCCCATAACAGATGCAAATTCAGGCTTGTAGTCATACTCCACCAGCCTCATTTGTGTTATTCTTCTCAACTGCTCAGTCGTATCGACCTAGTTGGACAAATACCAAGATTCACATGTTGAAACACTAAGAACGTTACGGCATCTAGGACTTCACTGAGATCGCAACAAGCCTGACATGGCAACTTGGACAAATCTTTACATTGAAAAATATAGACAGTCTTCCTATTCCCCATTAGCAGAATGCTATTTGTATTTGTATATTCAGTTACCCTTCAGCCTGACAACTCCCATTTACACAGATATCCCCAGTTTCTATGGTCAGCCTCTTCCAAAGTCCGTAAGCGATGGCTCTACAGGGCACAGTGGTACATCCTATTTCTCTAGGCCAGAATTTCAGCAGACTCAGGATAAAGAAGCTGCTTCACGTGTCAGAACAATGATCCACACATGTGCTGTGGTGCAAACATAAATGCCCTAAATACTCCACAGCCCTCACCTCCTGGATATTCTGTTTTGCTCGGCTGTCAGATGGATGCATGACTCTGCCCATAACTTTTGCATTTCCGCAGACAACCAGTGCTTCGTCTGGTGCATCTGTGTTAATTCCTACTCGACCATAACAGACTATCGTCTCTGGAACATGTCCTCGCTGCCATAGTACATCATTGTCATTCTCAAACTGCCCTGGGTTAGATGCCTGGAAGAAAAAATTATGTTTAAAGATATAATATAGCATAGGTGGACTATTGTTTATTCCATTAGAAATTCAGGGAAAATGAAATGCCAAATCTTTAATATTTAAATTGTATGCAAGAGCTCTTCTAAAACACCAACAAAAAAAACTAGAGTGGAGACACTTCTAAGTGTTTCTGCTCACACAACACTGGCCTCATTGCTTTTTCCCTTGAATTCTACTTTATTATCACCTTAAGCTAGATTACCAATGGCCAAAAATTTCCAAATTTTAAATTTGACATTATGCCACATAACCATTCTTTATTTACCAGCAAATTTCAGTTAAGACTGGAAATCAGAAAAGACGAAACAAGGCAGAGATTCAACACATGTGGTTCATAAAATCCTCTGTAATGTTTTCAATTAACTCGTATTAGACTTTTCATGTCAAGGAAACGGGGTCCTTCAAAGAACGCCAATAAAACAATGGAGTGTGTATAGTTAGAAAAGGCATTTGATTTCAATAATCAATTGTGTTTGTTTTGTGGGGTTTTTTTTAAGTTTGAATTCAGGCTTTAAAATCTAACTCTGAAGAAAAGTATGATCAGGATAAAAAGTCCGCACTCATTTAAGAAGCCAGGCTTTCACAAGGCTTTGCCACGTACAAGGCACGGTGCTCTGCACTTACCACTGTTTGTCACAATTAGAGCATGATCTGATATGCCTGATAACCACTACTCAGCTGTTAGTTTTGTTATGTTACATTTGAGTGTACAAAGGGCCAGAACATGAGCCGCTTTCTCTCATAGTGCATTTGCACAGCTTTGCCACTTTAAGGTAGCCAGTGGCTGGCTTGCTGTACCGCGCCACTGAAGCCCTGTCAGACATCTGGAAAATGACTTTTTTTTTCTTTCCAGCTTTCCTGTTGATATTTTCACCACTTCAGATCACAGCCTCTTGATCCCTTTGCTTTTCTCCCTTCTTTTTTCTTTGTCTGGAATAGTGGCCAGGTTTGCAAGATCACATTCCCTGTATTCCTATTAAAAAACTGTCTCACACACATTGAAGGAGCTTTCTTCATTAAAATTTCAAAAGAATCTAACATTAAAAATGGTAGAAAAATGTAAATTTCTAAATCTTACCTAAAAATATATATCTTATAAGATAACAATAATCCCAAGGATGAGTCAAATGTGAAAATTCAACAGCTTTCCCAAATTAGTAAAACAATGATATTTGTAACACTGCTATATGCAGAAAGAGAAATTCAGATGAAAGCGGTATTGTAGAAATGAACAGACAAAAAAAGAAAAGAACTAAATACGCAGAAATTACACTAACACAATGCTTCAATGTCCTGAAATAAAAGAACCCACAGTAACAGCCAGGATGATAAAACTCAGCAGGGCAGAAGACTACTCAACTCCAAACATTACTTTCAAAGCCCTTTCACAGGTCCACCCAGAAAGGAGCTCTCGGCCATGTTGCCCTCCAAAAGCCTAACCGTAACTGCAGGAAGAGGCCTTACAGCACAAGAGGACACAAAGTTATGGCCCAGGCAAAAAAGGAGCCAGGACTGAAACCATGTGAAAGCCCTCATCTTCCTTTGGAAACCCCTGCGCAACACCACACAAACTGAGGATTTGTACTTTCACTCTCTCCAAACCCGAATACCAAGCTGTAACCATAAGCTTAGGCAGGTGATGTGCTGCCAAAAAAGGACCCAAGCAAGCAATGGCCTACAAAAAATTATGCCAGGGCTAAAAGCTTTTAACAGCCCTCACCTTTCTTTAGGAACCTCTTCCCAGCCCCACTTAATACACTAGAATTCTTGGTCTTATTTGTCTCTAAAACAAAATGCTAAACCTATTCCTCACCATAAGGCAAGGTCTAGAAGGACTTCATGCAAACAAGAAGCAGCTCCTTGACTGGTGCGCACGTGAAGGTTCACCAGACTGCAATCTCCCTGAGGCCCTCACCTTCCTTTGCAGTCCCACCACACAACATCTATGCATCTCCTATCTTTCTAAGCCCTAAACATAATCTTCACCCTAGAAATAACCATAACCCTAAACTATGCCCAGTTCAAACGTTGGTCACACAAAAAAGGGGCCAGGGACTGAAAGCTTTGGGCAGTTCCCACCTCCCCTTGGCAGTCCCCTTGCAACCCCACTCATGCTGGAGCTCTGCACTTTCTCTCTCCTAACCCTCCACAGCTCCTGTTACAGTAGAGCTCTGGGTTATTTCCCTCTTCCCAGTCTACCTCTAACTGTAGGCTAAAGCCGAGTACTAAAAGGAAAACTTTGTGTGGATGAGGGGGCTGATGTAATGGTCATGAGGAAGAGAGACCAATTCTTCCTTTTTCTGTTTTGAAACCTATATTACAAACACCAAATTAAGAGCTGGGATGCTCTGGAAACACACTGGAAAGGGGCAGCTATGGGTCTTAATTGTCCTAGAGCTGCTTGACCTTCTTTCTTTGCACTTTTTTTTCATTCTCATCCTCCTTTGAAAATGATGCATCAAGCCAATGAAAGCATTTACGATATTCCTGGCAAGTGCAGGAAATTTTTTCACCCAGAGGCAAAAACACTCTGGAAAAATCAGCATATTTTGCTATGGAATTCAAAACAACCTTTCTTTTTAAATTCTTCTATGGCTCTACTTTTAACATTTTAAAATCTCAATAATTAAAAGATAACAACATACTCATAAATATGCAAGTGTAACTTTTTTCCCCTCAATCTTTTTGAGTCAGTGGTTATTTTCATGCCCAAGAATCACTCCCCCCAAAGCCTCCTGGGAATATCAAACTAGTAAATACTTTTCACATGAAAGCAATATAAATTTCTACCTACCCTCACAATGATCTTTTCAGAGACATTTGCAGATAGTAGGTAGAATCGGTCCTGAGAGACAGCATACAGTCCAACTACCAGCATGAAGTACCTAATTTGAAATTGATTTAATCAAGACAATAATTGAAGTAATGTCTTCTCACAGAAAAAAATAAAATGGTTTAAATATAACTGCTATTACTGATACATAAAAAGATAGCCAGAACATTTTTTTAATGTATTTATGTTACAATATGAAAGAAAAATTATTTCCTTCACTCTCAAATAATATGCTATTTCAATCCCCACAATCACTGAAAATGAATAAAGATTACAGTAATTTTGACAAATTTAAGTAATGAAGACTAAAAGATCAAGACCCTTCCTTCCCCAGAAGAAAATTATTATTATTTGTGGTTTTGGCTTCCAGATTTCATCAGCCATCCTTCTGGCTACGATTTTCTGAAACAAACTCCAACCATGAGGATGAGCTATTTTCTCCTATTCTCATATCATTCTGTGACCCTAGAAGAGAGGCCTTTAAGCAGGTACCAAGCATCACAGAATTTGAAATAAAATCACAGACTTGGCAACGCTCAGATTTTTCACAAACATCAGCTCCATTCTAAAAGCAGACGTGCTCTTTTCCGTTTCACACACACAGGCCAACTAGCTCCAGCAATACCTCTGGTCAGGATTAGGTTTCCCCTTTTTTCTCATATTGTTTGCTGTTGTTTCACTGAAATGCAACCTCCCCAGTGTCACTTTAGTTATCTGGTCACCTGGCAGATCAACTCTAAAATAGAAAAGGAAACAAGATCAGGGAAACAAGCATTTGGAGATCTACCTAGCTAAAACTCATTAAAACAGTTTTGAGAAAAACTGACAAACAAAAAAAACAGAGGAACCCCAGTAAAAATGCAGCAACCCTGGTTTATAAAAATGCATTAAAAACACAGTGATGATGTCAAGGAGATAAACAGGATAAAGCACCAGGGAAACTGTTCTTAGTAATAGGAGTCTTGTGTTTCTTTGTCTGTTTGTACATAGTCTTGAACATAATAAAACCACATGAGTTCCATATGATGAGCATTTGTTGCATGCCAAGGTTAACATTACTTATTACTGGAGCTGAATTTCCACATTAAAACAAATAAATTTTACTGCTTGTCCTTTTTTTGACCTGCACCTACTTTATATGTCTGGAAGTATGAAATATACACCTATCTCTCAAATACATAGTGGCACTGCTCCTGTAAGTGATAAATAATAGGAATAATGAGTTTGCAGGAAGAAAACCACAGTCCACCTAACAGTCACCCATGAAACTGTTTGTCAGTATGCAAATGGAAGAAAAATGCCATGAGAGAGGTAATTTAGTGAAAATTGAGCCTTCTCCCAAGCTCAAAGTTCATTTTTGCAGATTATATATTGCAGCCTTTATCCCAGCACTGTCCTGTCAAACTTGACACTGTCTTATCTTTTTCTGGTTTAAGTCCTATTTAATTATTTACAGAGAACAGAACAGCTCCAACAGAAGACACTTATGCCAGAAGAACAAACATTGATTTTGCTAGTGAATTAAGATGCAAAGGACTGGCAGAGAGTTCCAGGGAGAAGCTGCACATACGTTTCTAGCAGAGGCACTCCCCCTTAAAAGCACTGCAAATACATCTCATGCCCATGTAGAACAGGAACATTACTGACTTTTTTCAAGATGGGAAACGCATCTGTGATAGAGCTCTAAACACCGTACAACGGTGTTGCTAGCTGAATATAAATATTTTGGATAGGCATACTTAACACATTTGCAAAGCTGCTGAAAATTTTCCTTAATGAAGGGAGACCAGGTATATATTACTACTGTGATTCTATGTGTGCATCCAGAATGGAATTTAGGTAAAGATCAGAAAACTGGCTTAGAGCTACTGTAAGTTTCCAAGAAACAACTACTTCACATTTCAGATAAATCATGTATTGAAATAAAATGGAATAAATTTCTCAAAATTCTTACTTAACAGGATGGAAAGTTTTTTTGCTTCGATCTGACTGAGACTGTTCAATAGCAATTGTTTGATTTGGAGCTTCTACCTATAAAGAAAAAAGAATTTTCAAAAATGACAAGAATATTAAATTTTCAAACACATAAAATTTGAAATAGAAATTAAGAGGGAAATTGTGTCTGAAACAGACAAATCTCTTTCATTTCTCATGGAACTACATAGAAAGTAACATGGGAATTGACTCCTGATCAACTGACACCTGACAGCTGGCCTAAAGCCCCAAATAATTCTGTGGACATAATTGAAAGGCGGGGTAGGGGGTAGGGAATGAAAAGTCATTGCATTAATTTGCAAAAGAAAAACTGCTTTCTGAATCTAGACTGTTAGTGGCTCACTCTTCCCCAGAGCATAAATGTAGATATTTAACATGAGAACTGAACTTACGCAAGGCAGTTCTATAAGTTATTTTAATGTAAATTTCTGTACCTTTCTGGAATGTTACCAAGCAGCACTTTGCTTCAGATCAGAACAGATGACAGTAATATTCACTAATTTCTTCTGCATTAGAATGCAATAAGAAAACTGGTAGTAACTGCCTTGTGAAACAGCTACATGCATTTTTTTTTTAAACCACAGAATTTTGGTAGTAAGTAAAAAACCTGTTAAAATCTTTCAGAAAGATTAAAATTTCATACTGCTACTGTATATGCATGCTACTACTGTATATGCAACCTTGTGGACCCATATTGGCTGGGACGAATTTGTTTCTTAAAATGAAAATGGAAATCCTGGCAAGAAGAAATGGGGAAATTTTGTTGGTTTTCTACACATGAACTGTTCAGGAAAATTAGATTTGATTCTTCTTCTTTGCTTTGTGAATTGTTTTTTTCAACACATTTCTTTGACCAATGGGTAGACTGGCACCTACATACCAGATGACAACCCTGCACTGCCCACAGAGGGAACAAAATTTCAGCCAAAGAGAGAGAAGTCAGTGAAACCATGGCAAACAGACAAACATGACATCTTTCAGCATATATCAGCACAAATATCCCTAGAACATCTCTTTTTTTGCAAGAGTTCCACGCAGAAGTCACTAGTAACTTAAAACAGTTCTATTTTGTCAGTTCTTGGTCAAAAATGACTAAGTTCGTTTCAATTATTTACCTTATTCTATGGATAATAACATACTAACTTATTAGCAGTAATAATCCCAAAGAGGAGAAATACTTGCCTTTATTCCAAAAGCTTTCAAGCAAAACTTTTCTATTGGTTTCCCCTCCAGCTGAGTTTTGACATATTTTGGATGTCCAGTGATTCCAATATGGACTGTGATTTGGAAATGATTCTTCTTCTGGCACACAAAGGCATCATCTGTTGTTGAAAAATTAAATCCTTTATCCGTGACAATGTGATATCCTACGGCAGGTCTACAAAAACAAGAAGAATAGCAACTTTAAGTACAGGCATATTTGAGTGACATCTTAAGTTCCTATTTTTTATGTGGTCTGAAAATTCATCTGATTTTTACTGACAAAATGGGAGTGGAAATACATCTTTACAATCGCTAATTCTACAAGTATTTTCTTCTTAGCATCTTAGAGGTGTAAAAATGAAAATGCATATAAAATGTACTGTAATTCTAGTCTGACACATGAAATGTTTGGAAACCAGAGGTGGTGAAGCTTACATAATCCTTGCTTATGAATCTGGTATAAAGGAACTCTGTGCACCTAAAAGCACAAGCAAACCTTTTAGTGTATTCAAGCATTCATTACAACATTGCCATAAACAAGAGCTGAACTACTGCTGCAGACAACAACGTGCTAATGAGCCAGCAAGACCCTATTTTGTTCCTGAATTCCCACACCAAGTGCTTCTGCAGAAGCTGCTGGGATTCGAATAAGGCTTTCCTCAAACTAAATGAAAAGCTATCGATACTAACCCTCTGGCCAGATGACTATAAAACTCTCCTTTATAATGTTGTCCAACTAAGGAAACCCTATTCTATTTATTCAAAGGGCCAATTTTTCACCCAAAGAGAAAGAGTATTCTACCTTAGGATTCACAGCAAACAAGGAAAGGTGTCAAAAGATCTTTCTGAAAGAGCCAGTGAAGTCATCATCCCCACAATGCTTCCAGTCCTCTGATTTAAGTGACGGATAATTCTGAAATAACAGGACTACGTGGCAAGGTCCTCTTATATGGGCATTGGTTTTTCTTGCTTTTGAAAGTTTGATAATGATGATTTCATCTGATGCTACTGAGAACCTCTCATTGACACAATTACTGAAGATGACTTTTCAGAACTCACCAATTCGTTTGAACATTATTAATTGGAAAAATCAAAATGTACAGACTTTACAAGAAATGTACAGAGTTTATTATCTTTTTATAAATTACGAACAAAAGATCCCTTTATCTGGGACAGGGAATAAAGAGAAAACTACTTTATAACTACTTCAAAACTACTAATTCATATGTTAATTAGTATTTAAAAATATAATGAAGGTCTACCATCTCCTCAAAACCATCGTTACTAAACTTCTTCAGTTTCTCCCTACAACTGGCAATTCTTTTTATTTATGTGGGAAAT